TCTCTTCTAGTTTCGACTGTTTTTTCCATTCTGCACCACTCTGCTTTACATCTTTATTATTCTGTCAGTTTCTTAACTCTGGTTTCTCAAGGTTAGAGATTCTTTGCTTTTCTAATATTTACTATCTGTTGATTTAATAATGAACATCTTTTAAATGTCTCTTAAGTAGTCTTTGAAATAGCACAGCACTTTGATATATTGCACTATGTTGCCATCTGAAACTACTGCTGTGCTTATTGCCTTTCATCTGGAAGAGTCTCAAGGTGCTTTTCAAGCATGAACTGACAAACTATATTTAGTTAACTCTGTGTAAAATGATTGTATTCCATCCATCACAGAAATACGGGCATCTCTGGGGTGAACCTTGTTGGCTGTTAAACAGTACACATTGACACTAGATAAGTTTAGCAGTTCACACATTGTAAATTATTGAAACTGCTGGAAAAATTGGGGTAGACAGGTTAATTACCCAAACTGACAGCTGATGATATCGCTGGTGCTCATATTTTGTGCTCTTATAGAAGCGTGGACCATGTACAAATATGTTGGTCATTACTGCAGCTGAAATCAGCATTATTTTGGCTGCTTTAGTTGTTAGTGCACCACACACGGCATTTTCTCAGTATTCCTAAAATACTGAGATCAGTTGAATCTTCCAGGGAGTATGCACGTAAGCAGAAAAAGAGACTGAGATTGTTTGAAAGAGGGGAAGATAGAGGTTCAGAGTGATTTGAACTTTATAAAATTCCACTTATTAGGTTGCACTGAATTCTCAATGAGTTGAGCTCCTCCAAAGAGATGCCTTGTTGTCAAAAAGAATATTTGGTGTAGACAATTCCTTTACCGCTCTTTGGGCATCAGTAGGTGAAGGCTAAGGGTCAAGAACACTTATGGCATTGCCAACAGCTAATGAAAAGGGTTGGACATTGTCACCATTGTCACTTATACAGTGAGAACCATTTGAATGCATTTTTTTCTTTTGATTAACTTGGTCCCCATGATGGTATTCTGTAGAAAAAAAGTTTAGGCATAATAATATACCATGACTTAATGGAGAAAAGGGCAGGTTTGCCAGTAATCATTCCTGTGATGCTGTTCTACTTTTTACTGACATACCTCACAGTTAGAATTATTGAATAATATTTTGTTCATTAGGGGAAGAGCATAGGTGATATGAAAGACTACTTATTCATCTCTTATATCACAAGACTCATGTGAATCCCATCATAAATGCAAACTGGTAGTATAATCTAAAACACTGCAAATCTTAATCCATGGAAAACCAACACTGAATGAATTTTCTTTCATTGCCAGTCTGCATATGAGTCATGAGTCTTAGAGTTGCAGGGACCTTGTATGATAGGACTGAGATGAATATCCACAGTTGGGTGAATGGACTTGGACAATGCCACCAGACATATTTTGTATGGCTACTCTTACTAGCTTTGTATCTGTTCTTGATCAAAGCATCTTATTAAGGGTTTAAGGGAAATGATTATCAAAGTTGTAGAAGGAAGCAACGGAGCGTACAAGGAACTTCTGCTCAAGACCTACTAAAATTAACTCAAGGTTTACTAGACCATGATTGTGTTCCTTTTGCTAGTCATCTACCTCAGGACTTCTGCAAAACTAAAAACACTCATTGGATGTAAAGTTCTGTTTTACATAAGAGCAAGAAAATACAAAGTTCATGTTGCTGTTCCATCTGTGACTTGTCCAAAATTTGATCTGTTGTTCTCTGGCATTTCTCTTTGGTTTAACTGCATGCAACTGAAAGCATGGCTTAAAGCAGCAATAATACGTCATGGTACAAGCTTATCTGGCCTTTAAAGGTGAGCAGAAATAACTTTAAAAAAAAAAAGTAATAGTGAAGCTAATAATTTTTTAAATCATTAATAGAAAATTAGCTTAATGTTAGTAATGAAATAATGTTTCAAGTAAAGATGAGGTTCTTTACATGACCAGGCCTCATGTTAGGGTGCTATAATTCCTTTGAAAGAGCTCGTGTGTCTCCCAGAAATTTGTCATGAAAAGCTCAGTTTTTGTTCTGGCAGACAGTAGAGTTTAGCTGTAGTATTTATCTTGAATTTTACCTTTTTTATATTTAATCTTCTTCTTTTTTTTCCAAAACTTTTCAAAAAAGTGCTGCATGTTTTGTTAGAGACATCAGTCAAAGTTTTAACTTCATTATCATGACAGCTTTTTATCAGACTTTCTATTCTGTTGCCCAGTAGGACAGGACACCAGTTTTTAGTCTGTTGCTGACGCTCAAAATCGATTCATAGTTACTTAAAACTGAAGTGTTTTCTTGACAGTGCTCTTCTGTGATCTATCATGACACCATGAGGGTAATATTCCATGGCTTTCAGATGATTTAAAACATTTAGATCATTTTAGAAGTGTTAAATCATAACTTTGTCACAACAAAATCCAAGATCTGATAGATTCATAAATGTCACTGTAGTAGAGAAGGGGCTAAGCTCTATAAAAACGAACTTGGAGTCAAGCATACTTCATTTTGATCTAGATCCCCATATTTAATCAGTTATTTTTTAATAATGTACAACACAAAATATAAGCTAAAGATGTTAATTTTTTTTTATCTTGCAGAGCACTCTGGGACCGAGTCCTGTGGCAGATTTTTCTGCAATTAAAGAGCTTGATACTTTAAACAATGAAATAGTTGACCTGCAGAGGTAGGTAAAGGAGAAATACCACAATTTTAATTGCAGCCAAATGTTGTATTTAGTACTGCTTGAATACAATTTCATAGTTCTAAACCTTAAATGTAATACAGTAAACTATTGATATGCACTGTTGCACTTGTGTGAATTATGACTCTGGTAAGTATATTGATTTTGTTTTCTGTTGGTTTTGAACAATGTTAGGTTCATTAATAGCAATGAATTCCCAAACACCATCCACTGCTCTGTAGAAGAGAGAAAGTAATCTTTCTTTTTCTTTGTGCTGTGTAGTAGAGAGTTGATCATAGTTCATCACAGGTTAAACAACAGTGTTCTGCAAGTGGGCATAGTTTTCCTGATGAAATCTGGTTAAATTACCCTCGTATCAGTATTACAGGTAAATTAGTACGGTAGTGCAAATGTTATTTAAGATTTCTATTAAAAAACAATCTTGCTTTTCACAAGATTTTGCTTGTGTCCCGTTCTCTGTCTTCCTCTAAATCATTTTAATGAAGTTTAGAACACAGGTTCCCAACCCCTGGGCCGCAAAGGGCTGGCTGCCAGTCCGTGCGAGGGTTGGCTGCTGGGCCGGAAGTCTGGAAGTGACCGGCATACTGTGAACCGGCAGCCAGCCCTTTTTTATGCTCAGTACCGAGTATAGAAAAGGGTTGGCTGCCTGTCTGGAGTATGCTGGTCACTTCCAGTCTGCAATATGCAGGCCCGCTGAAACGGCGAATGAATTGTGGATTTTGCCAAGTAACTGCTTCCATTTCCATATGTAACAATGGATTCAAGAGGTTCCCAGTAACCTCGCAAAAGGTGCTTTGAAGATGACACCAGTGAAGTAAATACTGCTACATTTCTCACCCCCTTCACACACGTATCTTTTTAGTAAAGGGGATATTAACTTCCATACACAGTCCTAGAGGCTGTTAGAGGTAAATAGGCCAGAGTAATAACTGAAAATTTGTTCTTGGGCTCAACTCTCTAAGTTAAATGGAGCAATAAAAGAAGGGATGTAAAGTGAGCCAGTACTTAGGAGCACTGGGAATGTATCAGCACAAGATGAGTACTAGCTCAGGAAAGGCTTTTTATTTGAACTTTTTAAGAAGATGAAAGGCTTCCATTTTTTTATAGCAGAGCTGTATAAAGCTTTTTAATGTAACTGAGTAAATATTAACCTTGTGCTGAAAAATTGTAGCTGCTAAATACATGGAGCAAGATGGATGCATAATTGTGAAATGTATAATCAAAGCAAAATAGATAAGCAGTAGGATTTTAAAAATGTCCTTGAAATGTTTACTACCTGCATTTTAGAATGTTTTTATCCTTTACTTAATGAGAAGTATATTGTACAACAGCTGCAAAGCTATAAATATTGCATGTTTCCATTTATTTGACTGAATTTGTGTGGTGTTCTCTTGCCTCTTGAAAGATCTTTTTTTAAAAACTTATTAAGAACAGTGTAAAAGCTACTTGGCTTTCTTTGACTAGAAGAAAACTGTTTACAGGATGCCTACAGTTAATGATCTGAGTGAAGCTGGATCCTCTTTACCCATGAGCACCAACACTTCGGCAGTGATTCTCAACCTCCTTACTTCTTTGAATGTGGCAGTATCCTCTGCTGAGAAGGCCTCATCTTACCTCTGTGGTCCTCAAGACAAGAAAAAACGTTGCTGTTCAGCCACACCATAGAGCAGTGGTTCTCAAGCAGGGTGCCATGAGACACCCCCCCCCCCCC